TTTCAGAAGAAGCAAGAGCTGTATTTCCTTCCCTGTAGTATTATACCATCACTTACAGAATTGTTTGCGAACTCTTTTCTCTTTCATACATGGCAGGGAAACTGCTATCTTAAGGAATGGAAATATCAGTCATTGAGCACAGACTCACAGAAACTTGAGCCTGGGAGGAATGTCACATGCTGTCTTGTCCATCTTCTCACTTAACAGATGAGGAAGTTGAGGCCCACAGCAGTTACATGATTTGTTCCAGCTTTTGGTGAGAGAATTGGAACCTGAATCTGGGCTAAAATCAGGGATGTGTTCTTTTCACTCTTTCCAGAATCTCAGTGCCTTGCCAAAAAGTTATATTCTTTTTGCTTTAATAGAATGGTTGCTTAATAGTTTCTTGTCGCAGTTCAGTTGTGTGACTGCAACCCTGACTGCAACTCATAATGAAGTATAAACAATGTGAGGGAATACCTGCCTTGATTCACCTTTGTATGCAGTGTCTAGAAATGGTAAGACATACAGTGGACTTGTAATAGTGTTGATCACAATACTCTAAAATTTAAATAGCATTCCTTCAATTCCGAAATGCTCTTAGAAATAAGAAATGACTGAGCGTCTCACAATCGACTGCCAATAGATGACACGCTTAGAGAGTACATGCTTTCATTGTGCTGTTTAAAAACATGAAAAACTAATATAAATATATACTTAGGGATCTCAAACATCCTGAAACATTTTCTTTCTTGGTGTTGTGAGAACTTTTTTTTTTTTTTAACATATACTGAAACTCTAGATAAGCAAAGTGATCCGAATACTCAAGAGAAAAAGATAAATAAAATAAAAGTAAAATACTAATTCCACAGAGTATCTTGGATCGAATTACTCTCTTGATGAGATCTATTGACTGACTGTGCACTGAGCCATTGTTAACCAGGCTACAAGCTGTTCTTCAATCTCTGCTATGTAAAATACCTTGTCATTATTATACAAATACTGGCATCAAACTCTCAGAGAAGAATTTAGGAGAGTTCCTGGCTTTCACGGCAACCTACAGCAAATGATGCCATCTTGACAAAATATAAAATTACCTCCAACCCTGAGCTGAAACTATAGGAGAGCAGCAAACAAGCCCTGTAGTATTGTTTTAGATGAAGCACAGTGATAGCTCAGTGCTTCCTTCGGGCCTCCTCTTTCTTCCTGAACGAACTCCAGGGAATGGCATCATGTCAGGCTTTCCAGATGGATTATGTGAAGCCATAGCTCAATGTCATTTTCAATAGGAAGCCTCATAATTAAAGGTCAAATAGTCACTTCATCTGCAATCAATCAATAGAAAAAGTACTAATACGAAGAACTAATCAATCAATGGCAAATGCACTAATAAAAGCAATGAATCAAATTCAGCATCTGTGTAGAGGCAAGTACACTGAAGAGATTGAGACAGGGCAAAGGCAAGAACAATAAAATAAATTGGAAGTGTAGGTACAAGAGAATATTTAGAAGGATTCTCGAGCAAGAGTTTTCATCTTTGGTTCATTAGTTACCTGGGCACCACTCAGCCTGCAATGATTTATTCTTAAATAAAAATACTGTATATAATAATGAATAGTATCTCCTAAGGCTTACTTAATGTATTCTATTGGAGGTGTCATATGCAGGTGCGTGCGTGTGTTCTGTGTGTATAAGAACAGTAGGAAAGATATTTTGATAGTGACCTCAAAAGGGGTAGATATAGTTTCTAAATGCCAAATAGATCTATTATAATTTACTGTATTTCACCTTTGTGTGAAATACAGAGGTGAGAGACAGTATAACGCTGAGTGATATTCTCTGAAATACATACCCCGCTTTCTGGAATATGATTTTTTCACACTTAGTGGGATGTTTTTTCATTTCCATGCAGGTGAGAATTTCCCTTAAGATAGTGGACTGTGGCTCAGGCTACTGTCACAGCACACATCTGTATCAGTGATGTCCTCCTTACCGGAGGACCTAAGGATCTCTTTCACAAGAGAACACTGCAAAAACAAAGTGTATAAGCAGACAAAAGTCAAATTGACTCAACCCTTTAGAGCAAAACAGCTACTTCTGACTGGTGTTCAGAGTACCCGTTTGCCTGAAAATTAGGTTTCAGAAAGCATTGGAAACCGAAGACTATAGCTTTGAGATTCAGAAAAATAAAAAAGACAAAAAAAAAAAAAGATCTAATGGGTAGGCATTTTACTTATAGAATAGGGAAGACTACTGCTCATGCTGCAGTATGCTTCTTAGGTCAGGCTCTTTGTTCAGAACAGCCAGCTCCGGCACAGAAGGACATGGTGGAGAGACAAAATGTCCATATTGGTTTTCCTGACAAAAGCAAACCCCTAGGAGTGTATGGGGTTTAAAAGCCCGTTGGAGAAATGCAGGAGTGTATCTGGTATGGCCATGGCTCAGCATCTATTCTGAGGACACGGGCTCATTTGATCTCTGGCTCTGGACATCTGAGGCATCTGGCAGCACTCGCCTCTGGACACCCTACCTTTGTAACAGCCCCTTACTTTTGAGGAGACTTGGAATGTTAGACATCACCAAGTGGGAAATAAAGTGCAAGATGATTTCTTTGAAGTCAAAAATTAAACCAGGCCTATTACATGAATATCTAGAGGATGAGGGGTCAGGGGACTGGAGCCCTGGAAATGGTAACATAGTTGTAACTAATAGAGCTAATGATAACTAATAACAACTACTACTTAAAAGACTGCTTCTGCTTAAAAGACTATGTGCTGTATGCTAGGAAGCACACCAACTCCTGCAGGTGGGCCACAGCAATCTACACCTGTGCAGTTGTTGCACACATTCTGTCCTGTACTGACTACCTGTTATGTAAAAGTGCTGTGCTAGGTACTTAACACATTGTATCTTTAACCTTCATAAACTTTATAAAGTATTATTCTGCTCCATTTTACAGATGAAAAGCTAAGGTTCAGGGAGGTTAAGCAAGTTGTCCAGAGTCACAAAGTTAGGATTGGAATGTGGCTTCCAAAGCTCTCTCAACTTCCATAGGATGATATTACAAGAAAGCCTAACAAAAATACTGCAAGGTATAGACATTCAAAACAGTTAACCCTTGAACAACATGGGTTTGAACTACATGGGTCTACTAATACATGGATATTTTTTTCGATAAACACGGTACAGTACTGTAACTGTATGTTCTCTTCCTTATGCTTTTCTTAATCATGTTTTCTTTTCTCTAGCCTACTTTATTGTAAGAACACAGTATATAATATATATAATGTACAAAATATGGTTAATCGACTGTTATCAGTAAGGCTTCTCATCAACAGTAGGCTATTGATAGTTAAGTTTTTGGGGAGTCAGAAGTTTTACATGTTTTTTGACTATGCGGGGGGAGGTGGTTGGTTCCCCCAAAGCCCCCTACTCCTGCATTATTCAAGGGTCACCCATCTATCATTCATTCAGATCAGCAGAAGCCCTACCTAGCAAGTGCTCCTTAAAGAGTTTGTCCAATTTCGAAATCACTTTCCAAACTCGGCAAGATTGACAACAGATTCTATCAAACAAATATGCTTGCAGTCAGTAAAAATATTATGAAATGTCTTTGTTTTCTAGCTTACAAACTGAACTTCTTTAACATGGACAGAGCAATGTCATGATTTTCATCCTCTTAAGTGAGTCTCATGCCAAAATGTAATTTTTAATGCGAGTCCTTACCACAATGTGCCTACTACTTCAAGGAGTTTGTGAATGATGTATATTTCAATAGCGTTCCTGACTACTTAATGACTTGTTTTTAAAGACCCTATTCATCTATTCATGAGAGACACAGAGAAAGGCAGAGACATAGGCAAAGGGAAAAGCAGGCCCGATGTGGGACTCGATCCCAGGACCCTGGGATCACAACCCGAGCTGAAGGCAGGTGCTCAACTGCTGAGCCACCCAACTGCTACACTTAATGACTTTTAGTGACTAAAAGCATGGATTCAGGCACCTGGGCAGGTTTTTGGGACAATGCCACTACCCTAGATAAAGCTTAGTAGAAAATAGCACTTTTCTTCTTGATCTAACTTTTGTCCATTAAATAAATACATATTTCACTTTGAGTGCTTGAATTAATGATAACTACATTGTGTTTCTTTATAGAAATAACATTCTGAAATGAACTTTAAACTAATGTCAATATCAGATTAGAGTAACAATATTTCTACCTTGCTCCAAGCTTCCAAAAAGTAAGTTAACATTTTCCAGGGACAACTCTAGAACCTTCAAAGCCATGTTTTTGCACATTCACTTTCTGAAGTTCCCCACCCTTCCCCATCCCTGTCACCCTGTCCTACAGCTTTTGATGTGAACCTTCCACACTGAAAACTTTTTATGAGAATCAAAAACATAATTACAAATTTTTATTTATTTTTTTATTTATGATAGTCACACACACACAGAGAGAGAGGCAGAGACATAGGCAGAGGGAGAAGCAGGCTCCATGCACCGGGAGCCCGACGTGGGATTCGATCCCGGGTCTCCAGGATCGCGCCCTGGGCCAAAGGCAGGTGCCAAACCGCTGCGCCACCCAGGGATCCCACATAATTACAAATTAAGTTAAATCCTACAGTATTAAATTTAGACCTTCAAAAATTGGTTCAATCAAATAATGGCATTTCAAAGGAATGACCTATCCTCACTTTGCTTTTGGTTTTTATCTACAGAGTGGACAATACTCCATTCCACTTAATTTGAAGAGTTGCTTAAGTTTCAAAATCATAATATATAACTGTCTGAGGATAACATTAGGTTGATTTTTTAAAATTTTATTTATTTATTCATGAGAGACACACACACACACAGCGGCAGAGACATAGGCAGAGAGAGAAGCAGGCTTCCTGTATGAAGCCCAATGTGGGACTTGATCCCAGGACCCTGGGATCACACCCTGAGCCAAAGGCAGGTGCTCAACCACTGAGCCACCCAGGCGTCCCTTAAGTTGATTTTTAACTTTCTGAGTCACTTACCCAGTGTGAGGGACTTGTGTGTAGAACAGAAAATGATAGCCACAGTGTCTGCTGGTGTGAAACCCGAGTTATTCCTAGGGGCAAAAAAAGTGTTTTACAAATACTTATATAAAAATCCTACTTAACACATCCCAAATCAAATGAAGTAGGTAGTACCTACCTTCATGTTAATATCATTTTGATCAATCCTGGTGATACAAGTAATTCTATGCCCAAATGTAGAGAGGTGTCTGAATTTCTTTTTAGAAAATCATTCCTGAGTCATTTATCCATGAAGAGAAAGTCTTACAAATGTGTGGTGGACCCCACTTCTCCCCCCTTCCCCATCCCTCTTTGCTAACCTCTGGCAACCACCAAGCTGCTCAAAAACCTTTTTCAAAAAAAAAAAAAAAAACTTTTTCATTTCAAAATGTTCTGTATGTGGAATGATATGGTATGTAACCCTTTGGGATTGGCTTTTTTTTACTCAGCATAATTCACTAGACATTCATCTCATCTAAGTCATTGGGTATATCAATAATTTGTTCCTCTTATTGCTAAATAGTATCCCATGACATATATGTACCATAATTTGTTTAACCATTCACCTATGGAAGGACAGCTGGACTCTATCTAGTTATTGGTTATTAAAAATAAAGTTGCTCTAAAAATATGTGGTGGAGGTCTCTGGAGATCACATACATAACCAGGCTGTGGTGTAGTGCTTTGTGAAAATCATGTAGTGGGGACCTCTGTTGGCAAAGTTACTAGGCGTATCACTTGACATTATTTCCAGTGGCTCGAAAGTGTTAATGTATCTCCATAATAGTTTCCCTCAAGAAGCAGCATACCTTTCTGGCAGCAAACATGGTATGAAAAAAGATTTTTCATCATACATTTTAGTAAAAAATATAAGTTCTCACTCCTTGAGCAGTTACTGTGTATCAGATCCTCCTCTAACGTCTATACATTGGAAGACAACTATCCCATAAGGTAGGCGATACAATAACCCGACAGAGAGAGGAGAAAACTGAGTGACACCAAAGTTGTGTAGCTTTATCCAGGGCCTCAGAGCTAGAAAGTGACAGAGCCACAATTTAAATCAAGTCTGCTTACTCAGCCATTAGAAACGACAAATACCCACCATTTGCTTCAACGTGGATGGAACTGGAGGGTATTATGCTGAGTGAAGTAAGTCAATCGGAGAAGGACAAACATTATATGGTCTCATTCATTTGGGGAATATAAATATAGTGAAAGGGAATAGAAGGGAAGGGAGAAGAAATGTGTGGGAAATATCACAAAGGGAGACAGAACATGAAGACTCCTAACTCTGGGAAACGAACTAGGGGTGGTGGAAGGGGAGGAGGGCGGGGGGTGGGGGTGAATGGGTGACGGGCACTGAGGGGGGCACTTGGCGGGATGAGCACTGGGTGTTATTCTGTATGTTGGCAAACTGAACACCAATAAAAAATAAATTTATTATTAAAAAATAAATAAATCAAGTCTGCCTTCGGTGCCTATACTATAGGCACAGAACTGCTATGTTCTGATTGTTATATTAAGCATTAATATACTAAACTCCATTAAATGTTATGGGGATCGGTACCGGTGAATTTCATATTCCGATTTTTCTATTTTGGGACAGGAAGACATAGAGAACCAGGAGCCAAAAGGATTAGAAATGTTATTGTGGTTAGTGTGCTTGTTATGTTAGAAACTGTTCCTTCCTGCAGAATCAGGATTTGAAGGTACAGTGAAACTATTCGTTCCCTGCCTTAATTTAGCAAATGGAAAATGCTCCAGAACCTGACTCTATATGTATATAGTTTCAGATATAACAATCTACCCAATTTTTAAGGATCTCTAATGAAAGCGATCCTACCACTTTCCTTAGTAACCTCATCCTCACATAAAACTTTCAATGGAAGAAAAATCTTCCCTAAATAGATCTACACATCCTGTTTTCTTTGTTATGTACTTACTGGAGGGGAGAAGGGCCTTCTTCTCTTATACCTCTTCCTCATCCCCTGTGTTAAGAGAATATGGAAATTTCCTTTGGTCTTCTCTCTTCTGAAAAGTCATGTGTTATCATGCTTCCTAACTAGTCTTACCTCCAGCTCTTTTTTTTTTAATTATTATTTATTTATGATAGTCATACAGAGAGAGAGAGAGGCAGACACAGGCAGAGGGAGAAGCAGGCTCCATGCACCGGGAGCCCGACGTGGGATTCGATCCCGGGTCCCCAGGATCGCACCCTGGGCCAAAGGCAGGCGCCAAACCGCTGCGCCACCCAGGGATCCCCTCCTCCAGCTCTTTTTGGATAACTTCCCAAATTGAGTTTTTTGGTGTCTCACCTCAGTTGAAGATTCTCCATGGATATGTGACTTTAAAATAAGACTGCCTTACTGTTCCTACATTTTTATTCTCATATTTATATTGTGATATTACATTTCTTTTTAAACATTGCACTATATGGCTGACATATTCCTTGATCCCTTTGTTCATTATACATAATGGTCACATATATGTGTGTGTGTGTGTGTGTGTATACACACACACACACACAGAGATTGAGAGAGAGAGATTGAGAAAGAAAGAAAAAGAGGGGGTAGGAGGGTTATGGCACCAAAGAAAAGGATTGTCTTTTTTTTTTTTTTTTTTTTTAAAGATTTTATTTTTTTCAGAGAGGCACAGAGAGAGAGAGAGAGGCAGACGGAGAAGCAGGCTCCATGCAGGGAGCCTGACGTGGGACTCGATCTTGGGTCTCCAGGATCACGCCCTGGGCTGAAGGCATTGCTAAACTGCTGGGCCACTGGGGCTGCCCAGAAAAGGATTATCTTGAGCTTGGCAGAGAATGGGGGACAATGATGGAGCATACAGAGGACCCTCTTGAAGGAAATAACAATTGAGCTGGGCTTTAAAGGCCAGGTTTAGGTGTGGTAGGTGTGTATTTCAGATAAAGGAGAGTGAGGCTAAAATCTGGGGTCCAGGGGGCAGTTGGCAAAGAGCAGCCTCTTCAGGCTGACTTGTGTGCAGGGATACTGGCTTGTGACCAGGAGTGTGGACTTGACAAGATGCGCTAAGGAGGTCAAGAGGAGTAAGCACCCACTGTGGTGTGAGACTGGTGATGATGAGGCTGGGCAGGAAGGAGAAATTTGGAAGGGCCTGAAGAATCACAGTGAGGGCAGCGATGCTGGTAAGAGATATGAAGATAGAATCAAAAAAAACTTGTTGGCTGTTGATCTCTGTGAAATATTCCCTCCCAGCAGCTTAAGAGCACAGGCTTTGGGGAGCACAGACACCTGAATTTCAATCCAGACCATCCTTTTGCTTATATATAAAATGGGGATAATACTGCTGGCCTCTTAGGGGTCATTGTGAGGATACAATACCAATGTTTGTTAAGAATTGGCACATTGCAAGTTTTTAACATAAGCTAGCTGATATTATTGTTGCTGTTACTTTTAGAGAGGAGAAACAAGAAGCTTGGAATGCATAGGATTAAAAGGAGCACTAGGCTGTTAATGGAAATTGGGAAGGGAAGAGGTGGCCCAATGGGGTCTGGGGAGAAGGCTAAGGAGATGAGCGAGGAGAATCTGTGTTAGTGAGAGAGTTCTATGTTTTCAAGAAATCTGGTAAAGAGAAGAAAAAGATCATGGATATCTGCAATCTGAACATGACCCTGCAGAGAGAGTGAAGGCCCAGTGGGTAGAAACAACTGCTGAAACCAGGTCCTTAGAAAGGCCCGAGAGCCCAGGCTGCAGGTTTAACCTGAGAGGGCTCATTTCTCAGTTGGTGAACTGGACACAAAAGAAGACAAGGTGAGTGAAAAATAGAAAATTTTAATGTAGGGAATGGGAAAGTAGAGGCAATTTATGTCAGATATTTCACTTTCTTTGTAAAGCATAGACACTTCACTCATCCACAGAGTTTGGGGTAATAAAGAGGCCTGGGTGTGTAAGAAATTAGGAGAAAGGCACATCAGGCACTAGGACATAGATTGACTTCACAGTGAATAAACCCCTTCTACAGGAATGGCCACCCACTCATGCTTGTAGAATGTGTGGCATAACACACTGGCCTTGTTTGAGGCCATTCTCCAGCAATGCCTGTTGTGTCAGTGACACTATGAAGGCCTTTGTCATCTTTTGCTAGCCCTGTTTATAACCCAGTGTGGCTGCCTCTGGATTATGCTGTTTGTTGTTGTTTTTTTTTTTCTTTCCACGACAGTCCAGCAATACCCTTCTCCTTTAGTGAACTTTGTTCGGCTTGATATCTTGCTCTTTCCAGGTGGTAGTACACTTCTAGTGTGTCAAAGTCTCTCCAGCCCAGAAGGCTCTGATTCAATCTGGCATTGGCTGTCAGCCGTTAGAGCTGTACTTCCGGTGCAGCTAAGAAGGATAGCTGCATGACCGGCTCCCCTGTCTGGAGGTAAGGAGGCTTCAGGTAAGGTGGCTGAGGCTAGGCCTGCGCGGGGAAGGTTCCAGCCCGATCTGAGTTGGAACACAGCCCTGCAGTTCTACTGCCACAGCGTCTGCTAGTGGGGAGGGAGGAGTATCAGCACATAAAAACGGCCCGTTTATGGTTAAAAACAATACTCTCCCTGCCTGAACACTATCTGGAGAGACACAGAACGGGTCTTGAGGAAAGCCAACAGAGCAAATGCTCACTTAAGCCTCCATTCATGAGGAGGAGAAGGATGGTGCTAGTGAGCCACCAGAGCAGGAAACAAGGAGCGTTTTCTAAGCCCTCTACTCCTGCTACTTCCTTCTTCCTGGAACCGCCTCAGAAGCTCCAGTGTGCTCCTGCTGCCTGCTTTCTCCAAAAAAGGGGAAGGTTAATAAACGGCATCTCTAAAGTCAGACACCGCTAGGAAGTAGGCTGCCTGGAACTGGAGACCAGCTTGCTTTCTGAGAAGGAAATTAAGAAAATAAAGACACCGACACCACCACCACCACCATACAGTTAGAGGAGCTATCTCGGTAGGTAACCCTCCTGCAGCCACGTTCCGTCAAGGGGTGGCGCGATGGCAGAAAGTCATGCCAACACCCAGAAAAACGAAGCACCTTGTGCATTATGGTTAAGTGTAATGACTATAATTATTTTCAGTGATTAACGTCTCTATTGTGTTTGCTCATGCTCTTGAAAGGAAAGGAATCACATTACTATTTATTTTCTAACTCTATCTTATCTCTTTTTAATATTGATTTTCCTTTTATCCTGTTTTTATAATCCTTTTGATCACTTTGGCTTCCCTTGAGATGTTTATTTCCTTTTCTTCCCAACTGGTCTTTTTATGCTCTCTTACAGAGCTTTCAATCAGTGTTTCCCACATAATATTTATCGTGCCTTTCTCTGCAGTACTCACAAAGGAAAACATGTCAGAAGGTTTTACTAGTAGAATCACAGAATGTGGAACAGAAAAGGTCCTCTGAGAGAGTTCCATCTAAGCCCACTGTTTACAGAGGAGGAAACTTCCATGTGAAATACTTTCCTTTGTTAACCTCTGTACCTGTGTTTTGTCTTTACTTAATTTTAGGAGAAGACCTCATCTGTCATTAGCTGTGTGCCACTAAACAAGTTACCCAGAGCTCTGTGGCTTAGTTTCCTTGTGTCTGAAACGGTAAGACTTACCATTAATACTAATACCTGCCTTCCCTCCCTCCCACACCTCCTTCCCTCCTAGGGCTACAATGAGAGGCTGATTGAGACATCGGATTAAAAATGTACTGACAAGAGGATGAAAACATCTATACAGATATTCAAAATTTGTCTTCTTCTTTTTCCTTTCTTAATAGTTTGTCACTCCAGTGATATTCGAGTTTCTATTACTCTAGTTATCAGCTTTCTAAACTGTCTTTTATGTATTTTTTTAAAGGCTCCCAATTACTGCTTTCTTATTCTAGCTTTTTCAACCTTTTATGGTAAACTTGACAGTTTCTCAAGGTTGCAGACTGTGGACAGGGTGCTATGGGCAGCTGACTCTTGGTCTGATGGATCGACTCTCGTTTCCTAGCACCTGTGACAGTGTAACATCAAAGAGAATGTATTACAAAGCTAGAAATGCTAATTTCTTCTCTTCCATCATTAGTTTTTGAAATAATACAGATAAATTATTTTGGCATAATAAATATTTGAGAGTTGCTAATATTTATTGAGCACTTACTATATGCTAGGTGTTATGATGAGGGCTTTATGAGCATATTCAACTCATCAAATGACTCGATGAGGTAGGACCTACTACTATCTCTATTTTATAAATGAGGAATGACAAAAGTCACAAAGTTATTAAATAGGATTGAAACTCTGACTCTAGAATTGGAATTTTTAACCTCTGTTGACAAATAAAAACACAAATAAAAACACAGAGTATTTAAATGTATTTTAAATACTCAAAGTAGTAATTCACATGCCTGACCCTAGATAGGTAACATGTCAGGTCAGTAAATCCAAGAAATGTTAACCAAGTAAGAGGAATGTTGTAGGCAAGTAGGATTTTCTAGTCTGGGTCTCTCCTGGTTTATGCTAAACTTCCATTGTCAGAGGTCAGTGGCATACTGTACCAAAAAAGAGAGACCGATTTTCATGCCTAAGATTTTTGTCTCTTGATATCTGGACTGGATTTAATGAATTGGCAAGAAAAAGATGAAAAACAAACCACAGGCCAATTTCACTAATTTCAAGTAGAAAGAAACAAAGGGTATGAAGAGAAAATGAAACTCAAAGAGTATAAACCTATACTTAGTTCAGACTCTTGGTGTTTTTGACTAATTTATTTGTGTGAGCGAACTTGAAGAGTTAAATACTCTCTACAGATCTCCTAACCAAAACCAGCACTTACAAATTTAAAAAATAACTGAGATCGTTTAGTGCAGCAGAACAAGTGGGGGCAAATGTCAAATGGAAATGGATTGTAATTCCACACATACTCTTTGCCATCTGTTATTAAACAACTAAAATCTGATTTTAGGCAAGCCATTAAACTGAACTACTCTAGGTATGGGTCCTCATCTAACAAAACAGCAACAAAAATGCATAGTATCATGGTTTCTGCTGTCAGACTTTCATGAAAGAACATATGTGTAGTCTCTAGCATGGTGCCTGGCACCAAGCAGGGTTCAATAAATGTCAGTATCTTTCATTTCTCTAATAAAATCCTTAGGTACAATGAGGTCTCTCATACTGAGAGAAAAAAAAAAGTGCAAAAATAAAAAAGTAAAATCCACCATCTTCTAAATTTTGTTCAATTGAAAAAATCCCCAATTTTCAACGTAATATTTTGGAAGTATGCCATTTTACCAAGGAGCATGATTACAGCCACTCCCTATTTTGCTGTTTATCAAAGAATGTACACGTCTGACAGTCGGTTGAGCCAAGTTCAAAATGCAAGAGGACTTCATCGAAGGCAGAATAAAAGGGTCTTAAAAATCTCAAGGCCTTATGAAAATCTAGTCTACTCCATACTGAAAATTCTCAGTTTAACCAGTTGTGACACCACCTGGCCCCAGTACTCATTCAGCAATTTTAGCAGTGGCTATTCTGTGCTTTCAGGACATTTGCAGTCACTGACAGGATATCTGTCTCCTACCCAGTCTGATAGGCTAGGATCAGTGGGTCTGATTATTACTTCTGCCACAAGGACCAGTAAACAAACAGCTGGTGAAAGGCAAACATCTTTTCTAGGGCGACATAACAAATCATTTACAAAAAGAACTTTAAAATAGCTCCTACTCCTACACTATCCAATTAAATCACATTTTCTCGGTGTCTTAATGGCTCCGGGCTTCACTTTTACTTTATAAATCACAACCACAAGCTAGGGAAAATGGTTCAAATTACACCAATCAATAAATTTCTATTGAGTGTTTACAATCAGCCTCATGCTATACCAAGTGCTGTAAGAGCCAAGTGCCCCACTCGAGGCCTAAGCCACCCATTGCTCTGCCGCTGTTTCAGATCTCAAAAACAACCCAGGTCCAGGACGCCTGGGTGGCTCAGTCAGTTAAGTGTCTGACTTGATTTCAGCTCAGGTCATGATCTCAGGGTTGTGGGATCGAGCCCCACATCAGGTTCCATGCTATGCGTGCAGCCTGCTTAAGATTCTCTCTCTTCCTCTCCCCTCCCACTTTGCATGCACATGTGTACACTCTCTTTCCAAACAAAACAAAACAAAAACCTGGGCCTTTTACCTTGTGGCAACTCACTGCCATCACCTGGCAATCTGGTGTAAGCCTGTCTTTCCAGTTATTGTTATTTTTTAAAAATCTTTTTCTACTCGTATTGTCCCACCATGTCTGTGTGTGTCCGTGTCCACATTTACATTATTGTTTTACCCTCTCCCCACCAAGAAGCTCCTCTCTGCCTCTCACTTTGCTGAATAATTAGCCCTTCTTTATAACTCACATCAGATCCCATCTCTTCCATTGAAGCCTTGCTCTACCAACTCTCTTTGGAAGTGCTTTCTTCTTTGAATTGACTACAACTTGGCTCACTGTCCACAGGGAGGACACTTAGTTATCAGACATATATCTAGTCTATAAAGTCATACAAGATCAGAATCATCTCTTCTTTGTGGTAATCACTGTGATGACTTCCTCATACTGAAGACTTAAGTACTATCTGCTGAACGGACAATACTGGTGGAAGAAGTTGCATTAGAGGTGAGCCTGTGAGAACAGGAAAGATGATGTAGGGCATGGAGGCTAATTTAATGAGGACAGCCTCAGCAAGGGACAGAAAGGAGAATGCATGACGTTCCTCTGGCGAACGGCAAAAATTTTACCTCGACTTGGAGTGTAGACAGCAGGAATGCTACTAGTGGTTCATATAGACCCCCAAAAGGAACTTTACAGGCACTGAAACCACCGAAGATCTCTGATAAGAGCTATTATCAGAACTCTGAGTTATTGGAAGCAGTATGAAATGCAGTAGAGGAATTCATTTCAGAAATGAAGATACCTGTAAGATACCCACTACAATAGTCTGGGGAGAAAAGAGGCAACAAGAGCCTGAATTAGGGAAGTGGCTTTGGGAGCACAGAATATATTACAGAGGTAGGACCAAGACATTTAAAAAATAATGATACAAATTATTCCAGTCTGAGTAACTCTGTGGATGGTGATCCCATTAACAATAATGAAATGAGAGAGAAAGTGGAAGTATTAGGGGAAAAATTTAATTCCATCTGAGACTGAGGTATTGTTAAGATAGGTGGAGATATCTAAATGGTTAGTGATAAACAGTGCTGGAATTCAGGAAAAATACTGGAATGGAAGGTTGAGGCTTGAAAACCATCAGCAGGAAGCTGACAAGTTGAGCCAGTAGAATGAAGGAGGCCACCTAAACATACATGATGTGAACAGATGACAAAGGGCCACAGAGAAACCCTCTGGAAACATCTATAACCTGAGGGTGGCCGGAGCAATATGGAATGGTCAGGAAACAGCAGAAACACTGGAACAGCACAGTAAAAGCCAAGTAAATAGCATCATTTGTTATTTAGAAAACTAACAACCACAAGAGATATTGTTATCACTTACCTTGTTGAAAAGAGGAAGGTTAAAACCATAAAACTCAGCTGAATAGAAAATACTAAAGAAAAAAAAAGATTGAATCCAAATTAGGGCTCTGAAAATATCTGTAGTATATTTGCTGGTATGCTTAGCTTTATCTAAAACTTATAGGAACTCAAGTAGAAAAAACAAACATAACCTTGCTAAACTGATAGAATCATTGAAGTTAGCGGGACTCAAATTGTTCTTATGGAAGATATCCCCAGGCATAATCTACAATGTCTCCTACTCCACAAATCTAAAACCCTCCCTGATAACTCAGTTATTTAATTTGTTCAGTTTAGAAAGAGCTGGTTTATGCTATGGGTATTTATAGCAAATAGCATAACTGTAGTAGCATGTAATATATATTGTGGAATAACTCATGCTGATTTTAATAACAAAAAATTCTTAGGTATTATAATTACAAAGTTGTCTTTGCAGAACATAAAGACTCCTAACTCTGGGAAACGAACTAGGGGTGGTGGAAGGGGAGGAGGGTGGAGGGGTGGGGGTGAATGGTTTGAATGGGCACTGAGGGGGTCACTTGACGGGATGAGCACTGGGTGTTATTCTGTATGTTGGTAAATTGAACACCAATAAAAAATAAATTTATTATAAAAAAAAGCATTACACAGGACAATCGTTAAATCTGTCTTTTGCTGTACCTGGTTATTGAAAATTTTCTTAATTTTATTATATAATGTCCTTATATAAGATCCTATATGAGAAATTACTTTTGTAATTGAAAATAAAGGGAAATTTTTATTTCCTTCTATCATAAGAAAAAAAACAAAAACAAAAAACAAAGTTGTCTTTGTATAAGGGATAAACAGAACAAAAGGCTGATTTTTGATCCTTGCGGTTACTTGCATTTCATAGTCTGCTGCTTCTTAAAATGAAATGATATTACCATGGGTATATTTTAATAGAAAAGATGATGTGAATATTCACATTTTAACTACTTCAGTCAATTATTATACTTAGAAAATAATAGCATCAAGTAAATAAATTCTACTTTTAACTCACAATAAAGGGTAAGATTAGTTCAAAGTTTTAGTAAAATAAATTGGCAAAAAAGTGCTCAATCTAACATTTGAGTTTGACAGATCCCATGGCTTCTTTCATCTGGCATCAACTATTCTAAATCAAACATAAAAAACAAAGGACATTAAATCATAAATACGAAACTGATGTCTTCGTAAAGAACAGACACACAGATAAAGTCACTGAACATACAGAATATGAAGCTCAGTATTCCTTTCTGATCAAATTACCATTTGAAATGAATTTAGGGAACACAGATTGCTACACTTTGCTACCGAGGATACTGAGGGGAAAGAAAGAATATTTCACCTTCCAACTTACTTATGAACAGTATGAGAATAAGGCTGAATTTATCCAGGTCAATATTTGGGTTAGAGAATGTGTCACAGAAGGTTGTGTAGATGATCATGAGGAGAACACTGCTGCTGATAGCACCAAAAGGTGGTTTCTTTCTCTCAAGCCAATCCTTGATGTATCTTCGGACAATCTGAAATACAGAGATCAATAGGTTGCCTCTTTTTGACAATGTAGGGAGTTGAGTTGGGCATCGCAAAGCGATTCTGACAGCAGAAAGACATGAAGGAAAGAGAATAATTTGGATGATGGCCACAGTGGATTTCAAAGCTTCCCTACCACATCACTCTTCTTCTGGGGAATTTAACATTTGTAGTGCAACTTCCACTGGTGTCCATAATGAGAGTAGATTTTCAACTGCATTCAAATCTATCCTTAATCATGCCAAATGCTCTTTGCTAGCTGTCACTGAGACATGCCCATTAAGCCTCCCCAAAGTTTATCTCCTCTGCTGATCCTAATGGATGTATGTAATTATCACAGTCCCCTTTGCCTCAACAGACAATTCCAAGTGCAACTTTGGGAATCTTAAAAATCTGACATCTTCAAGAATTTCAAGACAGTAGATAATCGAAAGTGATCCATGGAACACATTAATATTTAAAATGCAAGCAATGCACCAGAAGTTTTTAATTAAATTATAACTCATGCTTGAAAAGCAAAAGTGCATGTGTTGTGGGAGTTTAAATAATTCAAACTCTGAATATCTAGAGTTTTTGTGAATCCAAAGACAAATGCCATTTGCATGCTTTTAGGATTCCAGAATTAACACTTAAAAATGAATAAACCTGTCCTAACTCTCCTACAAAAGGATGAGTGAATAAAGTTACACAGCAATCCTCTCTTATTTAAAAATAAAATCAGATATTTAAAATCAGGACAGGCTCAATATTGGTGATAACTTTTACTTGGATATAAAAGTGAAACACTCTACTTAAAACCTTACATTTTTTAAAGAAGCTGAACAAGCCCTGTAATAAGCACTATGGTTGAGACATATTAAGTTTCGAGTCACTCATTATCCTGCATAATTGAACATGAGATTTCACAACAGGCTGAATTACCATGATCCATTAGCAATAATGAGGTCAGGGAACTTCTCCTGACAAGGCTGATGGGGTTCTGTCATCTTCTAGTCTGTGGCTGAAAAGGTTTAATTCGTAATGGAGCATACCTTCACAGATACTCAAGAACAAAGTAAACTATTCTCAGGAGAGCCTCTGAACAAATGGCTATTAGATCAACTTCATCCATTCTCAAGGACTCAGTAAGTGAAATACCAGAAAGCTGACCAGTTGGTACAAAGTATAGGAACCACATCTTGAAGGTTGGGTGGCCTGGGAATGAAAGAGAAACTGTTTTCTATATATGTAGATAAATAGTAGTTTAATTATTTTTTAAAAAATAGATCTTGTAATTAAAATTACCATTGAATTTATTAAAAACTGTGGTTTTTCTTTTTGTAGATGTGATCCCAAACCACAGTAATTTATCTAGTGTTCATTTCTTTCTTTAAAGGTTAAAATGTAGTCAGGTATAGGGATGCCTGGTTGGCTTAGTCGGTAGACTATGGAACTCTTGATCTCGTGGTTTTGAGTTCAAGCCCCATGTTGGGCACAGAGATTACTTTAAAAAACTGTAGTAAGTAGAGAGAAGCAAGAGCAGTTCTGTCACACAGTGTAATTGGGCTGAAGCATGAGAACACAAACTTTGGATAATAATGTTTGAGGAACCTAGATGGCCCCACGTTCTTCTAACGTGGGGGTAACTGATTACTAGAAGGTTACAGAGAGACTTAGTTTAAAAGATTATTTCATAATCTATTATGTTTGGTAGCATAAAACTAGTAGCTGCCCAGACTTAATACAACTCAACTCCTTTAGGAAATAAATGAAAATTACACAGTTACTGAAATTGATGCTGTCCTCCAGTCATGTTTTAATATACAATGATTAAAGACACAAACATCCTCTCTCGGCAATGGGTTATAGAATGTATGATCCCAATTCCCAAAGTAGAAGTGTCTTCTTCCACTACCATTGACCCCACTGACAAAATAAACAGATAAATATGAATGAGGTATAACTTGGAAGTCAAAGCCATTTTAAAAACCAAGACAAATCTCTAATCAATCAACTTTATAAGCTGCAATTTGACTATTCAATCTAATTACCTCTTTCTTCAATACAAAGTACTCAGAGTCTCATGGTATAGTAGGACTCTTTCAACATGGTAAGAAACATGAACTCCGAAGTCCTGTATCCTCTTCGTGAAAATGTCTTTTTTCTAAACACATCAATGTGTTAAAGCTGGATACTTAATCTCAATAAAGAAAACAACTAGAAAGTTGGAAATTGGACATACCCACAAGTGAAACAATAACCCTAGGGGAAAACAGATGGTCTTTCATTGTTTTTAGTCTTATAGTGATATTTGTCTGTGTTTTCTAAGCAAATCATTTTATAGCTTGCCAGGCTCCATAGAGCTTTTCTATCTTCTAAAATTAAATTCACAAAGTAGCTGCTTTTGCAACTGCATAGTGAGAAAAGTGTTAAAATCTTTTATAAGCTACTGGGTGAAGTAGTGTTGATATGCCTTAAAGATATGCTTTGGATATAAACTTCAGGAACCTCATCTTCTCTTCATTCAGCCACTTACACTTTTGATACAATCATCCTCGATTTGTGAAGAATCCATGTCATTTTAAAATTCTCCAAATTTCTTTGCATTGTAGAAACACTTAATAACTATGGGAAACAAGCTTTTGCTAGAGACAGCAACCCAACCTGATATAGACGCCTCAGAAAAAAGTCAGGATGATTTTTTCATATTAAATAGTCTTCAGCCGAAGCTGAAAGGGGGGAAAAAAGTCAGGATGAGGTGGGGAAAGGCATCTTGATAAGGTGGCCAGTTGTAGCTTTCTTCAGGATCTACTCTAATTCATTTGCACTCACAGAAACTTAGGCATTCACCATGAGATGACAAATCCTCATTGACTTGCTGTTCCCCGTGGAGAGGTGAGGAAAAACATCTTCCTCAGGAAGCTCTTTATTGTCTCACTTTCTTCATTTTGATTTTCTTTATTTTAAATTAAACACCAGGAGGGCTTAAAGGGAAACTTAGACTTGAATCCCAGTACTTTTAATAAGCTGAGCCACATATCAATTACTGTCTGACGACCTCCAAGCTGGAAACTTGAGAAAATATGTCTTAGGTGAGGAATGTTTATATGCTGAGATAACTGAGAAGTGTAATATCCATCGTTTTAGTTTTCTCCAATTTTTTTTCCAGGGCATTTTCTTGCTTTTTTCCCCTTCTACTCTGTCTTTATATTTATAAATTGATTTTTGAGTGGGGATATGTTATGGATAATTTTTCATATTAAGTCTGAATTTTAAAATTTTATTTTTCTTCATGTTGACTTTAGATTGTTTCTTTAAGCTTTATCCTCCATTCCACTGAATCCATATATTTTCATAAAGTGTTTGCTTTTCTTTAATAGTTAGTTGAAATATATAGCCAGGGATACAAAATCAAATCCACTGTATATAACATTTTTCTTTAAAAATATTTTTATTCACTGGGTGTTATACTATATGTTGGCAAATTGAATGTAAATAAAAATGTAAAAATTTTTTTTATCAAATACTGAATAGATTCAAAATAATATCTAAAAAGTATAAACAGTAAAAAATATATGGATATGGTAAACACCCATCATCTACTTAAGTATTATTTAAATCGTCTCATGAGAGAAGTTGTGCAGATATTATCCTGCACAATTTACAGCTGAAAATGAAGGCACAGAGAGCCCAAACAACTTGCATAAAATGTTAAAAAGTCAATGAAGGGTGGTCAGGTTATGAATAGGAATAGGACCTCTGCCTCCTGAGGGAACAAGGGCATCATGGTTAAAGGTATGGACTTTGGAGCGTCTTTTTTTATAATCTTGGGCAAATCCTGTGCCTCATCTGTAAAACAGATCCAGTAGTAGTCATAGTGAGGATTAAGTTATTAAATAAACATAAAATGCTTTAGAACCAGAGCCTGTACATGGTGAAAAATGGGTATTCTTATTTCCAAGTCCTGATTCAGTGGTGTTTCTATCACAACACTGCATAATGCAACAGCTCCTTTCCTCTCAAAGTAATTCAAGTGAAGCAATGAAAATAGTTCATACTGAATATAATTTTACAAATGCAAAATTTTACTAGCATTAATAACATTATCTTCAGCTTCGGCTGAAGACTATTTAATATGAAAAGCCAACCTCAAAAATGTACAGAAAATGGGGCAGGCTGGGTGGCTAAGTGGTTCAGCACCGCCTTCGGCCCAGGGTGTGATCCTGGAGACCCGGGATCAAGTCCCACGTCAGGCTCCCTTCATGGACCCTGCTTCTCCCTCTGCCTGTGTCTCTGCCCCCCTCTCTCTCTCTGTGTCTCATGAATAAATAAATAAAAATCCTTAAAAAAAAGTATAGAAAAAAAGTGGGGCTTAGCATGCTGTTTTGAAAAATGTTTTTCAAAGGTGGTGGAAGTTCTAGTTGATTAACATTCATTCATAAATCTCTCAATATAATGCATTAAATAAGTATTTGTCACAAGGATTTAGATGTATTGAAGGGTTTATCAGGAAAAAAGAAATATTACAATAACACATGTTTATTTCTAGAGCTGAAAAGGATGCAATCTCCCAACCATCTATGGAAAGACCAATCTTATCTCACACAGTCACAGCATCTTTGAGCTAGAAGATATTAAACTCCTTGTTCTACAAATGAGGCAAGTGAGGGCTAGAAGTTGTGCATAAAGTCAGACAGTGGCAGAAATCAAACTAGATCCTGCATCACACTGTAGTCAGTCAATAATGAGTTCAACCAAACTGAAGTACTGTATGGGGAAAACACAGAAAATTAAAATAAAATTAACTCTCGGAAATATTAGTAAAAAATTAAGTGATGAAGTTTTATTATCACTACAAGATTAAGGAAAATATTTTCAACTCTTCCTTCCTGGTCTTTTTCTTCTTCCTCTTGTTCCCATTTTTTTATTTAAAAGGTAATGACAAAACCTCCTTTTAAAAGATACACATACAAATCTATAGAAAATTTATTTTCATAATGTGCCACCTCTAGGTACAATGGAGAGATGACACTACCTTGCCTGGGCTACTTCCTCTGAAGTAGTACATATGAGCACTTCTAACAAGGTCCTCAAAGATCACATCACAAAGTTTAGGTGAATCAACTGATTACAAATGAATATGGAGATCAAGGAGTAGAAAAGGTCCCTGGTGTTGTAGGGCTTATATTCTAGTTTAAGAAGATAAACAGAAAGCAAAAACAAACAAATCGACAAGAGGTAGATCATGATCCATACTAAGTAGAGGTTTAAAGTGGACGGTATGAAACTATGTGGCTATCTGACAGCCACTGGAGAAAGGGTCTTTCTGAGAAGGTGAAAGGTGCGGTGTTCTAAGCAGAAGGTGCAGAGGCTGCAAAGTTTTTTTTTTTTTTAATTTCATTTATTTATTCATGAGAGACACACACAGAGAAAGAGAAAGGCAGAGACACAGGCAGAGGGAGAAGCAGGCTCCATGCAGGGAACCCGACGTGGGACTCGATTCCGGGTCTCCAGGACCACGACCTGGGCAGAAGGTGGTGCTAAACCGCTGAGCCACCTGGGCTGCCCCTGCAACGTTTTTAAGACAGGATCAAAGCTGGCATGTTTGAGAAAACAGAAGCAAAGTCAGTGAGACCTAAGTGTAAAGGGCAAGTGGGAGAGTATTAAGTTAAGTAAAAGAAACCTGATAACACAAGAGAGGGTGAAATAATCTTGCAAGGAAGTACAGTAGGATTTCTAGGAAGTGTTAAGTGACAATTTAAATTTGGGGTCATAAATTTGAAACAAGATGAGACCAATTATGTGTTTCTCTCTATTAAACCTGGAGATCTAGGTAAAATAGCTGCTGGGGGCGGCTCCATTAAGATAATTCGAAGTCATTTTCAACCAATCTTCTGATACAGCTCACACCTCACTATTGAGCACGCTGTTAAATATACTAATAGACTCTGCTTCCAGGAAGCTCACAGATCAACTATAAGCGCTCCTGATGAATATTATGAATCAAGTACATGGGAGAACTGGCATTTAGGTCTAGATCGAGGGAGTCAGAACAGGTTGACTGCACCCCAGTTGCCATCTTTGACTGAGTCTTAGCAAACAAGCAGGAGTTTGCAGGTGGAAAAGTCTCACAGGAACCCTAGGCTGCGAGCCGGGCATGGAGGTGCGTGGCCATCGAGGGGTGGCACACCTGTGGCCTGGACAGGTGGCGCCGGCAGGGACGGGGCCAGGTGACACTGCAGAGGTGGGGTGGGGCCGCCACACAAGGAGCCGGCAACAGGGGAGCCCAGGGGGGCGTTTTTAAGAAGAACAAGATAACTGGATGTCTTAGAAAGGCTGTCCTGGAGGCAGTGAAGACACTGGCTAGGAATTAGAAGAGGCTCACAGAAGAGAGACAGGAGGTGCAGTAATTTACACGAGAGATCACGAAGTGGTGGCATCCTCTCCGGCAGGGTGGATGAGGTCACAGATGCCAGATGTGGACGAGTTCTGAGGCAGAAATGGAGGCATTCAGTGACCACCTGGATGTAAGGGAGTAAGTATGTACAGAAAAAGTAGAGGCGAGGTGGTTTGACACACACCGGGGGTGTGATTGTTAATTCCTAAAACTAGAATACAAGAGGTGGGCAGGTAGATGCAAATATGTTTTTCCCTTTTGAAAAGATTTTGGTACTGGAAGGATTTTTTAAAACCACCTATATATTACTTTTTGACTATCTTTACTATTTTATAATTTACTGTAATACATTACTACTGGGCACACAATGATGAACAATCTAATAATTCATTATTCTCTCTGGATACTTATTCTTTTTTTTAAAGATTTCATTTATTTATTTGAGAGAGAGAGAGCATGGGGGGCAGGGTAGAGGGAGAAGCAGACTCCCTGCTAAGCAGGGAGCTTGATGCAGGGCTTGATCCCTGTACTCCAGGATCGTGACCTGAGCCAAAGGCAAGACACTTAACTGACTGAACCAACCAGGTGCTTCTGGATATATATTCTTAATTACATAAATTATATAACTATATATATATAATTATATAACTATATATGTAACTAAGTATACATATAACTATATATAATATATATTAAATATGTAATATTTATCTAACTATATATATAAAGAGAGAGGGAGAGAGAGAGTAGACAAAGTTATTTTTTTTGTCCATATGTTTTTTAATGGTATCCATAGCTGAGAAGGGCCAGAGCTGAGAAGGGCAAATAGGTTCTGTTATGCCTCTATAAGACAGCATTTCCCTTACTGATCATAGAACTCACCCATTCATTCCCTCACTCACCCATACATATTCATTGGGTGCCCTATCATCTGGATATGTAATGGCAATAAAACAGATATGGTTCCTGTACTCAGGAAGCTTGCAGTCTAATGGGAGAGATGAACAGGTAACAAGTAAACAAAAGATAGGTCTATATTGTGGCAAAGGCCAAGAAAGGAATCAAGATGCTACAATAAAGAACCACCAAGGAAACAAAGTTCAGCTAGGTGGTTCAAAGAAGGTAAAAATGAAAGAGTCCCATGAACAATGAGTTGGGGTGGGAGGGCAGATAGAAAGATACTTTAAACAGAAAAATTAGGCCGGAATTGAGAGAAGTCGGGGAAGCAAGAGTGTAGGATGGTGACAAAGAGGTTAGGCAGAGATGCAAGGGACATAATATTTATCTAGAATCCTTGTGATGTGAATAGCACTGCAGGAGTATTTTTCCAAGTACCATTCTATGTTTAATTAAATGTATTCTTTGAGTACTTTTAAATCCTTCCTTCTTACTCTAAATTTAGTCCATTTTCTAAGTAGAACATTAAAATTTAAAAAAAATTGAGGCATGTATTGGGTGCTGTGGTGTGCCAACCAGGAGGTGTTTATTCCCACATTTGCAGGGCATGTTGTTTGTCCCAAAGATCTCAGTTGAATTCCTCTTTGGGAATTGCTACTAAGCCAGCAGACTCTCTCCAGGTCAGACCTCTCACAGGGAGTGGAGAGAAGCCAGTATCTAATGCCTGGTCAGTGCAAGAGCATATAAGACTCTGGACTTAGGAGGGATGACTCTGAGGGGTCAGTGCTGCTAGAGGCCTTTGCTGGAACTACATTGTCCTATACCTCCTCCCTGTCCTACTTTTCTTACTTTCCCAAAGGTGTTCACCCCAAGGGTACTGCCCGAGGAAACTTTCTGCATGGAAACCTGTCTCACACTTTTTCCCAGAGAACCAAGCCTAAGACAGTGTGTAAATATTACATGTATTTGTAATACGTGTAAATATTACATGTATTTGTAATACATGTAATACAGTGTGTAATTATAGATGTATCACGTGTATAGACATCATTTTTAAATTTAATATTTCAAAGAGTTGCTTCTGGTTCAGTATTTACAGGGAATTTGAAAATGATAGTGATAGACATATAAAATACTTACCCGTGTCAGGCTCTGTGATGACAAAAACTTTATATACATCCACATTTAAATTAATTCTCATAAACAGCTCTTTGAGATAGGTGCTATTATTAAACAATTTGGTAAATTATGAACCTGGAGCTAAGGAGATTAAATGACTTGCCCAAAGTCTCACAGCAAATAAAAGGTAGAACTAAGAACTAGAGTTTAGTTGTTCTTTAACCAATGTCTGTGCTCTTAACCATCCAGATATACTATTTTCCGAAGACTGAACTCATTTTAGCGGTACAATTCTGTGTTCCATTCCTGTGTTTTAAAATTTATATGTTATAGTTCAATCATTATTATTCAATTATTATTAACTTGCTATAAGAAGTTAAATATAAGAATTTCTCCTATTAGTCTAATTCAGTAAGAATGATAAAGGAAACTAAATTTTCTAAGATCTAATTTTAAAAGCTAATACAATTAAATGCTTATTTTATTAATTACATGATTACAAATATGATCATTGCTATTGAAGGGGTTTATGAAGAAGCCAGCCAGCCAGATGCTTGTTCCCAATAATAGTCAGAATGTAGAGACTTTATCAGAAGGAGCAGAATAAGGAAATGATTTGCTTTGTATTTTTAAGCTAGCTACATGGCTACGAAGTACAGATAAAAAATCAAGATTCTGTGCAGGCATCCCTATGTAAAGCTAACTGCAAAGCACACTGATTGATATTAAATAAAAAAATAAAAAGGTGGGACTAGGGTAATGGATGAAACCTGGTGTGTTTTAACTCTTTCTCTTATCTTTTTTCTCAATTATCCTGACATTATATCGGAATTTGCAATTTCATTCACACACAAAAAAGAGCAGATAAAATTGGAGACCTTACCTGTCCAATAATGAGAGGAACCACAACAGTCATAAAAAGCTGAGAAAAAATAGATGTGAAAGGCACAGAAGAGGACGAGCCAAGCTGTAAGGCAAGAATATAAGAGGAGTGAGAATTACTTTGAATCAGTTATCAAATATTGCTGTTAATTAAACGGCACAATAAATGAAATCTCTCACAGGCACCAAAAATTTGGTAGCTATATATAAAGAGCAAGTGAAATTACTTTTAATTTTCTAAATTTAGTGCCAAAGAGACTATGTACTTTAACATATAATTTTTATGGGAAACTAGCATTGAGGAAAAATTATGACTATGGTTTTGCAATTAACTTACATTGCTTATTATTAATTACATTACTGACTAGTAAAGTTATTCTGTGTTCATGCTGTTCATAATCATATGGTGTGATATTTCACCTATACTCTTTTCTCTTTCTCCTATCTGCAGACCCCTAAAACAAACAAGGATGTCTCATCATTCGCTTCTCAAGATCATATTTTTATTTATGCAAGTGAAATAGTTTCTAACTTTTCTACTCCTTCAAAACAAAGCAATGAATCTCATATACCTTTAAAATTTATTCTTACACAAAATCTAGGAAATGAGAATTCCTGAAACATAAATTATTTTCCAAGTTAAAATTTCAATATATCTCTTCTAAATGTGTATGTTTTGACACTGCTCATAATTCCTATTTTTTCCTCCTTCCTCATTTTTTGGTTCATTTTCACTAACGACTGCAATCTCAGCTTTGTAAAGATTCTACTGCTGGTAGCACAGGTAGTTTGTCTATAAACATAGTCCCACACTCATGTTAATCTCAACCACCAAGAATTGCAGGCTTCCTATTAACTTGGTAATAGCTTTCAAAACCTCCTTCTGCTTTTCAAACCTCTCTGGACAAACAGTTGCCTGGTTCATAGCTGTTTATCTCTTTTAAGAGTCCCTTTTGCAGCCAGGTTCTCCCAAATCATCAATAATGATCGCCCTGGAACTTGGAACTTATTTCCATCCTTCCCCTGCAGATGAAACCTCAATTTTTGCATTTAACCAAGTTTAATTAAACTTGGGTAAATACCTTTTGGAAGATACTTTTTGTGAAGGACTTTGATATAGTTGGCACCAAGGGCACTGAATGTTAAATAAAACAAAGGAAATAGTTAGATAAATGAAGTCAACAGCTCTGAATGAAATGATGTGGGATCATTGTTTTCACTGATTTCTAATTCCTGCATGAACTAGCTTACCAAAATCTTTTCTACACCCTGGTATATTTTTATTCTGCCCCCATCCTTAGCCCCAATCTATATGCACTCAAGATGCCAAGCATGTATGTCCTGCCCAGCAGAGGTTTGAATTCACTTAATACTCGCTTCAGCACTGACCACTGGCTGTGAGCTTAACCCATAAAAACTGTAGCCTCTAACCTGTTGCTCCATAATTAGTATAAACTAAAGTGAGGAAGAAAGACAAACAGAAAAAGGGAAACTGTAAACAGAAACGTGAACACCTAGGATTCCTGGTGTGTTAAATGCTACAAGGCTGTTAGATGTTGCTTCTTATGCCAAGCCGAAATATTAAGAGCTAATAATCACACCCTATTTTAGAGCAACAGTGTCTTTGAAATACAGGGCACTTAACAAATATATATTTCTTTTCACGAATATTAACCCTAAAGATGCTCCTGAGATAAGATCGAGATTTTAAGAATGCATACTTTACAGAGAAATTGAGACACTAGATGAACAGAAAGATAAAATTTAAAGAACAGATTTTCAAGTTCAAAAACATCCAACTCAATGCTCAACCATAAAGTTCACAATGTTTGGAGAGACATAGTAGGATTCTGGGTGATAACCTTCAAGTAAAAGCTGTCAATTCTTGCCTGGAATCTCATGGGTAATTTGACATATTCCCCATTCTATCTCAAGTCTACTGTTACTCAATGTGTCTTTAAAATGTTTTAATGAATAACCCTATCAAGCTATATTCCCTCTGTAAGCCCAATGTTTAACCCAATACCTGGCAGAGAGAATACATTTGCAGATAATAAAGCTGTGCACAATGAACAAATGAAGTAATTTGTAAATATAAAGTACTAAAAAGTGCCAAACTCTTATTCAAAATCATATACCTATTTTTTTTCTAAAGTTATAAAAATACAAACCTGAAGTATATTTTAAAAATCATTTATTAAGTTAGTTTGGGAGTTGTTTTTATTCCCAAGTCTACTTAAAAGATTGCATTTGGGGATAAGAGGAGTAAAGGAAAATTAATGTCAACTTTGGTTTTAAACATTTTTATCCATTTTAACTTCTCCACCTATCATACAATAGACCATTTGCATGTTCAATGTTTTTTTTACAATTTTTAATTTAAATTCAATTTAGTCAACATATAGTGTATTATTAGTTTCAGAGCTAGAATTTGGTGATTCATCAGTTACATATAACATCCAGTGCTCATTATACCAAGTGCCCTTCATAATTCCCATCACTGAATTACCCCATCCCCCCACCTCCCCTCCAGCAACCCTGTTTGTTTCCTAGAGTTGAATCTCTTATGGTTTGCCTCCCTCTCTGTTTATTTTATCTTATTTTATTGCATGTTCAATGTTTAGAAGGCTTGTATTTCTAGAAGACAATAGAAAGGGTGATCTCCAAAGTCCCTTTGTCCTCTAAAACACCTATGATCTCTGGCCCACTTGATTGGAAACGCAGGTTGGAGGAGGACCTCCCTGCTTTGTCAGATCAGAGGCCAGAGCAAGCTGGCCAGGGATGTAATTAACAGGGTACGTGAAGCCAGACAACGTACATGGTGATGCTGGGGAGGAAATCCCGCAGGATGGTTCCTTTAGAAGTGGCTCTGAAAGGAAGGAAATCTCAGTTCTGAGGTCTAATTTGGCATAAGTCCTTTCTTTTGAATCACCAACCAGACCTGTCGCTGTGGTCAGTGTGAAAATGCAGAGACACCCTTGGGGAAGTTTCTGATGCTATGAAGTACACTCTGGCATCCAGAAGAAAGAAAAGCGAGCATTTGGCATAGACTAACATATGAGAGCATGACCAGAAAAGTACCAGAGTATGTATGCAGAGTTGATTTTAACTAAAGCAGAAGGAAATATGCTGCCTGGGATATTTGGTTCTTCACATTTTAATGAAGAATCTGTCAGGGTTTCTATTGTAAAGACCAATGTGTTTATAAGAAGCATCAATAATTTGTACCTTTGGATAGAGTTGCAGGTTCAGGATAAGTACGTATCAAGCCTTGCTCTGAGCTTCACTGAGCTACCTGGCACACTTAAAGGCGACAGTCTCATACTGCCAACCCATATTTTAGGATACACTGTGTTTAATGAACAATCTGGCCACTCGCTAATTTCTTTTAGGAATATAGTGCTTTAAAGCACAGAGCTCACAATTAGGTTTGCCAATTTGTTTTAATACCATGCTGATAAGAAATGTTTCGGTGAAAATTAAATATGTGGAGATTTAGGACCTTTGTGTTGAATCATTCAAATAGTTACTGGTGCCTCCTGTGAGCCAGGAGCATGTTTTAGGCATTTGGAATCCAACAGTGAACGCAACTCAAAACCCTTCCTCTCCAGGAGTTTTTTAAAAGCTGAGGTGCGGGGGCACCTGAGTGGCTCAGTTAGTTGACCGTCTGACTCTTGATTTTGGCTGAGGTTATGATCTCAGGGTGGTAAGATGGAGCCGTGAGCTGGGCTCTGTGCTGAGTGTGGAGCCTGCCTGGGATTTTCTCTCTCCCTCTCAAGCTCTCTTTCAAAAAACACCACCACCATCAACAACAACAACTTTTTTTTTTAAGGATTGAAAAAAAAAAAGTTGAGGTGTGTGTGCATGTCCACCCATCACCACGTGCATGTACTCCTTTCTACAGAACACCTTCCCATATTTAAAAGTTGTAGTCTTTGTCTAAGAGTTAGTTCAATTATCACATTATAAATTCTTTCCAAACCTTCCTCCTGTAGCACAGATGTGGCCTCTTTTGTGGCTCTGCATTTCTACCATTACTCTCAGAATCCTTGGTTGCTCTTGTGTGCAAATTTGTCTGTCAGTAGACTGTGTTCCAGAAGGTCCAGGGACAGGGTCATTCATTTTTATATTCCCAGTGCCCAGCAGACTGACTACATTCTACAGCTAGGGCAGTGGTTCTCAAGCTTTAGCACTGTCAGAAACATCTGGAGGGCTGCTTAAATCACAGATTGCTTGGCCCCACCTTCAGAGAAGAATGGGGAGGATGTTGAGAATTTGCATTTCTAATATGGCTCCATTGATGCTGAGCTAGGGTTCATTCACCCTTTGAGAATTACTCATTCGTATATTGTAGGTATTCAACAACAGTTGTGAGTTCAATTAATGAATGTCAACAATACGTAGGTAGAAAAACAGGCCTGACAATGTTTTACTTCCTCCTTCCAACTACAAGTTATGTTACAAAGCCCTACTTAGTTTACAGACCCCAGAAAAGGATCAGTTGTCTGGCCTCCCAACCATCTCCTATAATTGCAATAATGACAGCTTTTTATTGTACAATCTCTATGTGCCAGACACTGCTCTAAATGCTTACTGTGTGTCAATAATTTAACCTTTCAGGTAGGTCTTACTAGTACCCGTATTTTCATATATGGCAATAGTGGCACAGAACAGTTGGACAAAGTCACCAGCTAGAGAGTGACAGAGCCAGGATCTAAACCCGGAAGTCGACCCTCAGCAGTCATACTTAATTCTTACACTCTGCTGCATATTAATTACTAAAGGTACAGAGCAGTGAAATGGGAAGGGCGGCAGGAGCGGAAGCCAAAGCTGGGCTCCCCCTTTCTTGCCCATGTGAAATAAAGAGAGGGTGTGTGTGTGTGTGTGTGTGTGTCTGCGTCTGCATGGAGATGGAGAATTGGAAGGCAGGCAGAAGCAAGAAGAGGGAGGAGAAAGAAAGAGGAGGGGTGGGGAGAAACTTGATAAGTAGTAGTTGATGATGCAGCCTTTCTCAACTGGGGTTCCAGATTTGAGTCACAGAAAAGGAGCAATTATTTGAGTCACTATTTTCTCAACCCTGTCAAG